TGTCCAGATCCCTTTGTAGCTCTGCCTGGTCCTCGTCCGACTGAATTCTTCTCATCAACTTCACATCATCTGCAAACAGCGACACTTCTGAGTCTGTTCCTTCCGTCATGTCGTTCACAAATACCAGAAACAGCACTGGTCCTAGGAATGATCCCTGTGGAACCCTGCTCGTAACAGGCGCCCATTCTGACACTTCGCCAAACCATGACTCGCTGGAATCTTCACGACTATGGTGCTCTTCACACCACCTTCATGACTGAGGGATTGATGACCTCATCTTTTGTATATAGTTCAACTATCTTCCATTCATGTCCTTGAATTTGTATTGATAAAGCCACTGGATGATGAAACGTCCACAAGATACCCAGATGTTGCACATGTTTCTTAATTTTCATCTTGTTGGTACTGTATACCATTTATTTACAAGGGCAAAGAAGACCATAGACAGAATATAGTCTAGAGGGCCAAAGACTACAAATCTCACTCAAGGGAAAGGATCTTGGGACGAGTATAACACTGAACACGTCTCCTGAGGCGCACATCAACCAGAGCAGGAGATGCGCAAATTAACATTAAGATCGGCAACACTCTAATTGCCAGGCATAATGAGGGCAAATTCCTAGGCCTATACCTCGACAACAACCTGAACTTCAGCACCCATATCCAACACATAACCAAAAAAGTATCCAAAACGGTTGGGATCCTCTCCAAGATACGATACTACGTGCCGCAAACTGCCCTTCTCACACTATACCATTCACTTATATATCCATACCTCACCTATGCTATCTGTGCTTGGGGTTCAACTGCAGCAACACACCTAAAGCCAATAATAACCCAACAAAAAGCCGCAGTAAGAATAATCACTAAATCCCATCCCTGGCAACACCCCCCCCCCACTCTTCATAGATCTAAACTTACTCCCTGTTCAGAAAATCCACACTTACTACTGTGTAATCTACATCTACAGGACCTTAAATTCCAATATTAACCTTGACCTAAAACTCTTTCTTGATAGTTGTGACAGAACCCACAGGCACAACACCAGACACAAACATCTCTATGACATTCCCCGTGTCCGACTAAACCTTTACAAAAATTCAATGTATGTCAAAGGCCCTAAAATCTGGAACACCCTACCTGAAAATTCTAAAACTGCAGACACATTCATCACCTTCAAAACTACCATCAGAAAACATCTCATCTCCCTGATACACCCTGTCAACTAATTACACGAATACCACCTGGTGGTTAACACTTACACTTTCACTCACCCATTTGACCATAAACAGAAATATCAATCTCAATCTCAAAATAATGAATCTTAACTAGTCATAAGTTGGCCTGTGATACTCCAATACTGAAACTATGTATAGTGCCAAAACAAAAGCATTCACATTGCTAAACTCACAAACTAGTATTCAGTCACTTAGCCATAATACCAACTTACCTCATAATTTTGTAATATTTTAAACTTAAGATTTAATCTAAGTCTGCCCGAAATGCCTAGCCATGCTAGATGTTCTAGTGGTACACTCTGTAATTATTATTTTATTACATGTAAACCACACAATAACCAAATTCTGTAAACTCAGCATTGTAATCCTTATAGAGAATAAACTTTGAATTTGAATTTGAAAATAACTGCTGCGACATACGGGCGACTAGCAAACCTAAGAATTTTACTAACTCCATACCTCCTCCTAATCTCCAAACTATGAATTCTCTGCATAATATTTACACCACACATTGCCCTCAGACACATCATCTCCACGGCCTCCAGCTTCCTCCTTGCTGCAACATCCACTATGCATTCATACATTCACCTCTTTGCCTTCATGGATAATTTTCTTTGTCTCCACAGATATCTCAATGCACCACCCACCTTTTTCCCTTCATCAATTCTATGGTTCACCTTGTCTTTCGTATACACTCCCAAGTATTTAAACACATAGGACATGCCCCTTAACTCTGGGAATAGTCTTGCTGCAAACCTTTGCACTTTTTCTTATTTCTCGATGTGCTTGGTGAGGTGTGGGTTCCAAACTGGTGCTGCATACTAGAATATGGGCCTAATGTACATGGTGCTCAGATTCCTGAATGACTCCTTACTGAGATGTCGGAATGCTGTTCTTAGATTTGCTAGTCACCTGTATGTTGCAGCAGTTATTTGGTTAATGTGAGCTTCATATTTTCAGTGTTATACAGCCTCTCCTCATTTAGCGACGTACTCGTTTACTGATGCCTCGGACTTACGATGGGGTCTCTGACCAGTATGCATGCCTAAATAATGTATATTAGAGCTGATTTCCTCTACTCTGTTTATTACAATATACAGTACACTACTGTATAAACATTTAAAAATATACCAGAAATGTTATAAATGGTGCAAAGGTGACATTAAAACAATATCCAAGATACCTAACAGAAACCCACTACCATTACAGTATACTCCTCACTTAACGACAAATTCGTTTACCAACATGGTCTTAAGAATGGAACTCCGTTGTTAAGTGAGGAGAGGCTGTACTCACCCCAAGACCCTTTTCCTTGAATGAGATTTGTAGTCTTTGGCCTGGTAGACTGTATTCTCTCTGTGGTCTTCTTTGCCCTTTCTCGCTCTTCATGGCTTTGCACTTGGCAGAGTTCAACTCCAGGAGCCAATTGCTGGACCAGGCCTGTAGCCTGTCCAGATCCCTTTGTAGTCCTACCTGGTCCTCCTCCAATTGAGTTCTCCTCATTATCTTGATACCATCTGCAAACAGAGGCATTTCTGAGTCTGTTCCTTTTGTCATGAAATTCACATTTACCAGAAACAGCACCAGCCCTAGAACTGACCCCTGTGGAACCCCACTCATCACAGGCGCCCACTCCGACACCTTGTCGCGTGGCATGACTTGCTACTGCCTTTGTGCATGTGTGCGTGTGTGTGTTTTTTTTAACATGCTGGCCATCTTCCACTGAGGTAGGGTGACCTGAAAAAGAAACTTTCACCACCATTCACACTATCACTGTCTTGCCAGACACACACATATGACAATTCAGATGGCCCTACAAACAGTAAATATCCTGAACCCTCCTTTCGAGTGCAGGCACTGTATTTTCCACCTCCAGCACTGAAGTCCAGTTCACTGGTTTCCCTGAATCCCTTCACACAGTATTACCTTGCTCACACTCCAACAGCTTGTCAGGTCCCAAAAACCATTTGTCTCCACTCACTCCTATCTAACATACTTACACACATGTGCCTGCTGTATGTCCAAGCCCCTTGCACATTAAACCTTGTTTACTCCCTCCCTCCATCCTTTCCTCAGATGACCCCCTATCCCCGCCATCCCTCCACCACAGATTTATACATCCTCCAAGTCATCCTATTTTGTTCCATCCTCTCTAAATGAACAAACCACCTCAACAACCCCTCGTCAGCCATCTGGATTATACTTTTAGTAACTCCATACCTCCTCCTAATCTACAAACTATGAATTCTCTGTGCAATATCTACACCATACATTGCACTCAGGCACAACATCTCCACAGCCTCCAATCTCCTCCTTGCTGCAATATCCACTATACATACATTCACCTCTTTGCCTTCATGGATAACGCTGTCTCCACAGATATCTCAATGCACCACCCACCTTTTTCCCTTCATCAATTCTATGGTTCACCTTGTCTTTCACATACACTCCCAAATATCTGAACACGTTCACTTCCTCCATACTCCTTCCCTCCAATCTGATATCCAATTTTTCATCACCTTACTCTTACCTATGTTCACTTTCAACATCCTTTACACACCCTCCCAAACTCATCCACTAATCTTTTAAACTTCTCTTCAGAATCTCTCAAAAGCACAGTATCATCAGCAAAAAATAACTGTGTCAACTACCATTTTGTATTAGAACTCTTACTTGCTCACACATACACACACAAAAAAAAGCACATGTGTGCACACAAAAACCACACACAATTATTAATTAACACAAAGTAGGAGAGAGAGTGGCAAGTGTGGTAATGAGGAAGTGGGCCTGTCACTGTGTGGTGATCGACCAGGAAGGAGTGTTGCCTCACATGCTCATCATATAATAATACCTGTTTGCATGTTATCCACTCACTTCTGATCTAATGATAATAGTTAACAGAAACCACTATGTTAAATATGCAGTCAGACTGCATTATAGTACACCCCTCTTCCCTCCTCTCCTTTATTTTTCCCCTATCCTCATCTCTCTGTCTTCCTTCTTTCCCCTCTCTCTCCCCTTTCATTCTAATGCACTCATCAATGTTATTAACACTAAGGCTCAAAAACTGCACTCACCTACTTGTATTTATGGTTATAACTGTGTAAGCAAGTGACACTTACATACTCTAATTCTTTAACTTATTCAGGTATAAATTAATAGATGTACCTACCAAACAAGTTAAATTGGGTTGTGTACAATTTGTGCATTGACACAAAAAAATTAATGTAATATTGAAAGGTTAATTTTCACTATCATAATTCATTAAGGTGTTCAGGCAGGCTTAACCTTACCCTTTTGGCATACATAGCTAAACAAAAATAAAGTATCCACTGTTTATAATAATTGAGCTCAAATTGTGTAACATCCTTAATATATTTTGAGCTTGAGAGAGTGTCTTCAAATTACCACATTTTTATATCACACACACAAAACCATTTACACACAAATATAAAATGCTGCTAATAGTGCAATATTTAGTTAAATTTGGCTCACTTCAAAAGTGTTTATTTGAAATCTGTTTTGTTACTTTCTACAAGAAAATCTTATTTAAAGGCATTCATGCACCATTATACACTATTAAACATTCTTAATTACTCTTCCTATTGACAATTTATGCAAGATGTTGCTAGTATCTAGATTTGGTTAAAAAGAAAAAGGAAAGGTATACAGTTCTTAGATAAAATACTGCACAAAAATTAGGTATTACTCATTCTACAGAGTGAGTGGTTTTAAAAAAAATGGCTTAAACTCTGAATATGATTTTAACTTAATTTTATTAAAGATATCACATGTCATTTAATTTTCCACCAACTCTATATAATATGAAAAATACTTAGGTCCATCTATTTGGACAATGAGATCTTTGACAAATCAAATTTCTCCTACAGCCATTTATGATTAAGCTGCCTAACACTGGAAGTACACTTAAAATTAATGTTATAAGTATGTCTCAAAATTTCAGATTAATATTCAGGTTTTACTATATAACTATTTCATTAAATATTTAAACTAATTCATTAAGGGAATAGTGTCAGAAATAGTACAGAGGTACTGCACAATATTAAAAAGTGGGTAGGTCATCTGGTAGGAAACAGAATTAGTGGTGTTATCACACAATATAGAGGTAGGAAGGTCATTTGAAAAGAGTTAGAATAAGTACAGCATTACTACATTAACCAGTGTTCAAGAGGTGGGTAGATGACAAAAGTAGTTTGTGAAGTATATACAGTATGCAATTTTAATATTTAATGGAACAAGTTTAATTATAAAAATCTGCCAATCAATCTGGAATAATAGGAGACTACTAAAATAATTTCATCTGAAACAAAGTACCTCATAACAATAACTATACACTACCATTGTGTTCTCCCAAAATGATGGCCTTTTAGCTTGTATACAAATGCACACTCTTCTAGATCAGCAGTAATAGTGAGTAAATATTTCTTTTTAATTATTGGGAAACAGAAGTTATCTTCTTTAATGTGGAAGTGCCATTTTATTACCTGTGCTTTATTATATATATAAAGCCAAGTAACTACAAAGAAGCCATTTGTTTTGCCCAAATCAGTGTCTTCCTTTTCAATATGTACTACATGAGGTAGAAATCATGACAGAATATACAGAACTGTAGTATAATATTACACTGATAATGCTTTTCTCACATAAAGCTGTTGTGGCTTGAATGGAAGAAACCAAACCAAGATATCACAAAGAAATTCTAACACTAAAGCTTTAGACTCATATACTAATAAGAATTATTCAAAGATAATAGCCCACCAGATCGATATAAAAATGAATACTGTACCAAATATACAGGCAAATCTTGGAATACAGGTTTTTCAGCACATTTTTGACAGTGCCTAATTTGTATTAAAACCACATTATTTATTGAATGAACTTAGTTACAAAACACAGTTAAGAAAGGGATTGAAAACCATGTTTGTAATTTGCCAAAACATAACCACCTGCAGTTAAGGCAAGAATTAAATTAAAAGTTTTACAGGGCAAAACCAACAGAACATCGATAAAAAATGGATGATGCAATTTATGGTTTCAGTCATTCATCTGCCAGAGACCTTAACCACACTTCCAGATCACCAGGATCACCAGTGAAAGGAAACTGCCAGGTAACAAAAAAAAAAAAAAAAAAAAAAAAAACTGCTCTATACATAATGGTCATAAACAAAGACCTAAGTCGTGTTGTTACTGGGTGCATAAAACGACAATTATGTACCCGATAAAGAAGTATCATTCTTTATATGCATTCCTTGGCATGCCATGAAATACGAAGTACAGGTCAGCCATCACTAATCCGGTTCCATCAGTAATCCGGCACTAATTTCAGCTAGCATAATTTCAAATTTCCAAGGTCGTCACACCAACCAGCTGCTACTGTTTGGTGGCGCTACTTGTTGCACAAGTCATTTCAATTTTTTTTTCTCCATTTATTGTTATAACCTGCTTACTTTTAGCCCTACCCATAGTTCCAACAAATAAAAGAAATGCTTCTCGTTGTGTAAAGCACATACACCATACATCATTCATGAAAGATAAGGTGGCTTTAAAGCAACTGTCGGTTGCCATGAGCTCAGCTCACTCAGATAAGCTGTGCCTGGTAAATTTGGGCTTACATATGAGAGAATAGGTCTGTGTGGTAAGTGTGCACTATATAAAAACAAATCCTGCAACATGCAGTGCATAATGAGAAAAAAAAAACTGTGACCGTGGTGTAAAACAGCAACTTAGGGGCAGCTAATGCGCACGAATATAGAAAAATAGCTTAACACTTTGGCAACACACTGGTATAAGAATCATTGTTGTACTAAGTTCCTACAAGGAATTATAGTCATTTATAACATATACGGTGACGTCGCCACCCGTAGGATGCATGCTAAAATGTCAATTTTCAGAATTTTCCGATTTTTCTCATTTATTTCTTTTATTATTCTTTCTAATATAGTAAGTCACAATTTGGCATCATAACAGAGTGGGTGGAGCTATTATGGAGTCTGAGAGCCAATCAGGAACAATCTGGGAACATTTGCTTATGTCAGCAGGATTCCGGGGTCTTGTGATGCAGGGGAATATGCTTTATTATTACAGCTTATTTACCTATCACAAGTGTTCTAGTATGACCTAATAAACAATGTAAATAACATAAAAACATGGTAAATACTCCAGAATGAATAATATTTGACATAATACCGAGCAGTCCAACAGAGGTATGAAGTAACTGCTAGAGGATATGGGATATGAGAGAAAACGTAGTGTAGTACAGGGCTAACTGTGATATATGCTTGTAATGCACCATAAAACTGAAAAAAAAAATATTTTCTCTTTTTTTTTTTTTTTTTTTTGGTGCGTGCTTGTTTTCATTGATTATCTAGGAAGTAAGTTATTCATTTATATCTTAACACAGTGGCATTAATAATAATAGGAATGCAATGAATTTCACAGACAACATAAAAGAATGATTGTCTTACAAACTGGTGAAGTTATTTTTGAAATATCACAATTTGTTTTTGATTTGTATGAGGGTAAAAGGCAGATATTTTGCTAAATGTCAAAACCATATTAATTTTATTTTTTTAAAGAATGAAGATAGGACAAATTACAGTACAGTGGTCCCTCAATAATCGTCCGGCCTAAAAGTCGTCCATTTCGGAAATACAGTGGTCCCTCAATAATCGTCCGGCCTGAAAGTCGTCCATTTCGGAAATAGTCCTGTTTTTTCGTCAAAATATTGGCTCGGAAATGGTCCGGTAACTCGCTAATAGTCCTTCGTCCCGGACGCGTATGCACAGTCTGAGCGGCCTCGGGCCGCCTCAGCCTTTCCTTCCCAGCCAGTGTGCCATTGTTTACAAGTGAGCGACGGTCCCCTCACGTGCTCCAGTGAAATATTTATTAATATTTCATTTATTTTAGTGCTTGCAAGTTATTTAAGTGCTAAATAAGCTACCATGGCTCCAAATAAAGCTCCTAGTGCCAAGCCTTTGGTAAAGGTGAGAAATACGATTGAATTTAAGAAAAACATCATTGAACAATATGACAGTGGCATACGTGTGGGCGAACTGGCCAGGATGTATAACAAATCCCGTACAACCATATCTTCCATCATAGCCAAGAAAAAGGAAATCAAGGACGCTGTTGTTGCAAAGGGGGTAAATATGCTGACAAAAATGAGATCACCAGTACTCGAAGATGTTGAGAAGTTATTATTGGTGTGGATAAATGAGAAACAATTAGCAGGAGACAGTCTTATGACGTCGCTTATTTGTGAAAAGGCTAGGCATATTTCGACGATTTGGTAAAGAAATTGCCTGCAACTAGTGATGATGAGAGTGAATTTAAGGCTAGCAAAGGCTGGTTTGAGAGATTTAAGAAGCGTACTGGCATACACAGTGTGGTAAGGCATGGTGAGGCTGCCAGTTCGGACCACAAGGCGGCTGAAAAATATGTGCATGAATTCCAGGAGTACATAAACAGTGAAGGATTGAAACCTGAACAAGTGTTCAATTGTGACGAAACAGGCCTCTTTTGGAAGAAAATGCCAAAGAGGACCTTCATTACACAAGAGGAAAAGGCAATGCCAGGACACAAGCATATGAAAGACAGGCTGACGCTAATGTTCAGTGCTAATGCTAGTGGGGATTTCAAAGTGAAGCCATTACTAGTGGACCATTCTGAAAATCCCAGAGTGTTCAGGAAAAACAATGTTATGAAGAGTAAATTGTGTGTGTTTTGGAAATCTAATAGTAAGGCATGGGTCACGAGGGAAATTTTTGTAGAGTGGTTCAACGAAGTGTTTGGCCCCAGTGTGAAGAATTACCTCCTGGAAAAGAAATTGGATCTCAAGTGCCTCCTATTAATGGACAATGCACCTGCTCATCCTCCAAACTTGGATGACCTAATTCTGAAGGAGTTTGGGTTCATCACAGTAAAGTTCTTGCCCCCGAATACCACTCCTCTCCTCCAACCCATGGACTAGCAGGTCATTGCAAACTTTAAAAAACTCTACACCAAAGCAATGTTTGAAAGGTGCTTGAATGTGACCTCAGACACTCACTTGACCCTACGAGATTTTTGGAAAGAACATTTCAGTATTCTCCATTGTGCAAGCCTTATAGGTAAGGCTTGGGAGGGAGTGACTACCAGGACTTTGAACTCTGCTTGGAGAAAATTGTGGCCAGGTTGTGTCCACAAGAGGGATTTTGAAGGGTTTGGGGCTGACCCTGATGAGCCTATGTCAGTTGTTAAATCCATTGTGGCACTGGGGGCTTCCATGGGGTTGGATGTGAGTTTGGAGGATGTGGAAGAGTTGGTGGAGGACCACAACAAAGAGCTAACCACTGAGGAGCTGCAAGAGCTTCAGCAGGAACAGCAACAGATGGCAGCTCTGAATCTTGCTGCAGAGGAGGAGGAAGAGAGATGGAGGAAGGTGCCTTCTTCAGAAATTAAGGAGATTTTTGAAATGTGGGGTAGGATGGAAAGATTTATGGAGAAACATCACCCAGAGAAGGATGTTGCAAGCCATATCGGCAACTTGTACAGTGACAGAGTCTTGGCCCATTTTAGGGAACTCTTAAAGAGACGCCAGAAACAGAGCTCTCTGGACAGTTTTTTGCGAGACAGGACTCCAGTGACTCTCAAGGTGGTCCTAGTGGCATTAAGAAACAGAGAAGAGAAGTAACCCCAGAAAAGCAATTAGTACCCAAGGTGTTGATGGAAGGGGATTCCCCTTCCAAACAGTAATTCATCCAATCAGTCTCCTTCTCCAGTCTTCCATACACAAAGAAGAATCGCCAATAAAGGTAAGTGTTATTCTGTTAATGTTTAATTCATCATGTGCCACTGTATTGTTTATGTATTACATCTATATTTCATGTAAAAAAATTTTTTGTTTTAATACTTCTGGGTGTCAGGAACGGATTAATTGAATTTACATTATTTCTTATGGGGAAAATTGATTCGTAAATCGTCCATTTCGATAATAGTCCCACTTCCAGGAACGGATTACGGACGATTATTGAGGGACCACTGTAGTCCCATTATTTCGTCTAAACATTGGCTCGCAAATGGTCCATTAACTCGCTAATCGTCTTTCGTCCTGGACACGTACTCACGGCTCTGAGCCATTCCCATCCAGTGTGCCATTGTTTACCAGTGAGCGACGGTCCCCTCATGTGTTCATACAAAATATTTCATAATATTCCATTCATTTTAGTGCTTGCAAGTGCTAAATAAGCTATCATGGCTCCAAAGAAAGCTCCTAGTGCCAAACCTTTGGTAAAGAAGGTGAGAAATATGATTGAATTTAAGAAAAACATCATTGAACAATATGAAAGGAGCAAGAGTTTCAGCAGGAAGAGCAACAGATTGCAGCTCAGAATCCTGCTGCAGAGGAGGAGGAAGAGATGGAAGAAGGTGCCTTCTTCAGAAATTAAGGAGATTTTTGAAATGTGGGGTAGGATGGAAAGATTTATGGAGAAACATCACCCTGAGAAGGATGTTGCAAGCCATATCAACAACTTGTACAGTGACAGTCTTGGCCCATTTTAGGGAAGTTTTAAAGAGATGCCAGAAACAGAGCTCTCTGGACAGTTTTTCTGTGAGACAGAACTCCAGTGACTCTCAAGCTGGTCCTAGTGGCATTAAGAAACAGAGAAGAGAAGTAACCCCAGAAAAGCACTTTACCTTAGGTGTTGATGTAAGGGAATTTCCCTTCCAAACAGTAATTCAATGTCTCTCCTCCTCCAGTCTTCCATACACTAAGAAGAATCGCCAATAAAGGTAAGTGTTATGCTGTTAATGTTTCATTCATCATGTGCCATTGTATTGTTTATGTACTACATCTATATTTCATGTAAAAAATTTTTTGTTTTAATAATTCTGGGTGTTAGGAACGGATTAATTGTATTTACATTATTTCTTATGGGGAAAATTGATTCGAAAATCGTCCATTTCGATAATAGTCCCACTTCCAGGAATAGATTATGGACGATAATTGAGGGACCACTGTAATTACATTCATGATAAATTTGGATTAGCAATGTTTTATCAGCAGGTAGTGCCCAAACAGCTTCTCGTAGTGCCAATATCTGGCTTGGGCCTGCCATATATGATTTTTGGTAGTATTTTTTTCTCAGTTCTTTGTTGGGTTATCTTATTGAAACTTGGGCAATGCATGATGGAAAGATGCTTCTTAACGTACACCAAAAATGAAAAAAAATTGGATGACAAATAACATTGTTCACTTCTCAGCCATTAGCCGCCCCTCAGTGGAAGATTTTCGTATGGTTTTTAATGGCTGTATTCTTGCTTTTTTGGTCTCAATTGATAGAACAGAAGATATATTACAGAAGTAGATATGATTCTGATTGGTTTCATGATGAAAAGTACCTTGAAATTGAGCTCGAATTAGCAGAAATGTTCGATTTTTGCCAATGTTCAAGAGTAAACAAATGACGTCACCATCCAATACGTGTTCAACTGCCAGTCTAATACACAGTCCTGAATGGGTTGACATTATTTATACAATTATTACAATAATGCAGTAGTCTGCATAACAGTAAATCTTCTATTTTTTGTGAATAAGAATTCAAAATGGAAAGCAAGAGTAATATAAGAGGGGCCTGGAGATATGACTAATGAACAGAGAAAATATTATTTTAGTGCCAGGAATGTCTTCACTGTTATTCTGAACCCTATTTTGAAATTGGTGTCCCTTGAAATTTGTGCAAAATTGGCCAAATTGCCAATTTCTTACCACTTTATTGGGTAGTTGAAATAAGTGAATGGGCAGTTTCTTGTACTCAGTCGACGGAACAGAAGGAATACAAGTGAAATAGCTACGAGTTTGGTAGACTCGAACAATGGAATGGGCCAAAAGTAGGGCATAAATTGGGCGAAATCGCCAATGCGTAAATATCACCATTGGGTTAAGTGTATTCTAACCTAACCACTCTCTAATCTGGCAAAGTCACTAATCCAGCACTCTACAGGCCCCAATGATGCCAGATTAGTGATGGCCGACCTGTAATTTGATTTTATCTTTATGTTACCATTGGGCCCCTTTATCCAACATGATAGTTTTTTTTTTTTTTTTTAACAAGTTGGCTGTCTCCCACTGAGGCAGGGTGACCCAAAAAGAAAGAAAATCCCCAAAAAGAAAATACTTTCATCATCATTCAACACTTTCACCTCACTCATACATAATCACTGTTCTTGCAGAGGTTCCCAGAACACAACAGTTTAGAAGCATATACGTATCAAGATACACAACATATCCCTCCAAACTGCCAATATCCCAAACCCCTCCTTTAAAGTGCAGGCACTGTGCTTCCCATTTCCAGTACTCAAGTCTGGCTATATAAAAATAACCAGTTTCCCTGAATCCCTTCACAAAATATTACCCTCCTCACATTCCAACAGCTTGTCAGGTCCCAAATATCATTTGCCTCCATTCACTCCTATCTAACACGCTCACGCATGCTTGCTGGAAGTCCAAGCCCTTCGCCCACAAAACCTCCTTTACCCCTTCCCTCCACCTTTTCGAGGACGATCCCTACCCCGCCTTCCTTCCCCTACAGATTTATATGCTCTCCATGTCATTCTACTTTGATCCATTCTCTCTAAATGACCGAACCACCTCAACAGCCCCTCTTCAGCCCTCTGACTAATACTTTTATTAACTCCACACCTTCTCCTAATTTCCACATTTAATATCTTAAGATATAAGTACACACTAACTTGCAAGACATTTACCAATTATAACACTGGAAAAACTTTGCAATTTACAGAGTCAAATAAATGTATGTACAATGAGTTTTAACTCATCACTTTAATTTCTAACTGACTGCAGAGGAAGTTTTACTAATGGCATGAATGCAAATGATAAACCAAATTGATCAAACAGGAGGAAGCTAAATGGTGACCAGAGAACCAATTTTTATTTTACTTCTTCACAACTAGCACTGATCCAGAAGAGCCTGAACTAGGACACACAAATCATAATCTTGGCTTCAAGTGAAAAAATTAACAAAAATGTTTTCTGCACACTACAGAAACACCGTATCTCTTCATTGTATATACATACTACAGTATTTTATTACATTTCAGACCAACTTACTTTCAGCCCAATTTATAATTGAAATTGATCACATTCTCATGTGATATGGTATTATATCCAGCATATATTTAAATCCATAACAAGTGTCAAAATAAAGTGGCACAGCTTTTGACCTGCAGCAAACATAATCAAAATGCAAAATTAAAATTACCATATAATCTAGTCCTTTGTTAAATATCATGACTAGATCATTATGGATACATATTTACTCCCTATATGTCCTGTACCTTATCATCATCATCGCTGCTGATAGCGAAAATACCGCATTGCTATGAGCAATAGCAAAACAATGTAGCTGACAGTATGCCATGCACATTATTCCTTTGCCTTGGTACAAATATCATGTTAATATCAAGGCAAACAGGACATAAAGCTACAATTTTGTACTAAAAAATGCAAAAATATGCATAACGGGCAAGCTACTGTCGTTTTGTCTGATGCTGTTTGCATATAAACAGTAATGATGAAAAAATAATACATTTGTATTATATGGTGTAACTTATCATCCATATTTGCATTCTTTCTTCTACAGCAGCTAACTGTATCATCAACTAGCTGGTGCGAGAGAGGTTCAGATCCTCGGGAGAGAGGTAGTGGAAGATGCAGTCTGGTGAGAGCTTATTCTCTGCAACCAGTGTTGCCACAGTTTCCCGCCAGAAGTCAAATGAAATGCCAGAACTCTGCGGGAAAAGCTTGAATTAATTTTCAATGTAATACTTTGTGTGATACAATAAATTTACTAATTTATCAGAATACAGCAAACACAAAAATTATACAATTCTTCTGCCCAGATCTCTAATGCCCTTTTTACTTTTGAAAACCGTACTTGCTCAAGAAAATATATGACATATATATGACAGGGTGGACAAGGAGGCAATGTGGGAGATGCTGAAAATGTACAGAAGTAACAGGTTACTAACTAAAAGCAGTAAAGGGTTTGTATACAGAAAGTGAGGCTCAGGTTTTGGTATGTAGGAGTGAAGGGGACTATTTTCCAGTAAAACCAAGCCTTAGACCAAGATGTGTTTAGTCACCATTGTGGGTCAATAAATTTATAGATGGGATTGTAAAAAAGTGAATATTAGGGTTTGGGAGAGGTGTAGGACTGGAAGATAATGCTTCCAACATTATAACAGGAATTGTCACAGTTCCTCTTCTGCCAGTGACAAGGTTCTTGGGTGTGTAAAAGAAGAAAATTAAAAGTGAATATAGGAAAGAGTAAGGTTATGAGGAAAACAAAAAGATTAGGGGGAGAGAGTATGGAGGAGGTGAATGTATTCAGATATTCGGGAGTGGATGTGTGAGCAGACGGGTCAGTGAGGGAAAAAGGGTGAGTGGTGCACTTAGGAGTCTGTGGAGACAAAGAACTTTGTCCTTGGAAGCAAAGAGGTGAATGTATGATAGTAGAGTTTTACCAACGCTCTTATAAGGGCGTGAAGCATGGGTGATGAATGTTGCAGCAAGGAGAAGGCTGGAGGCAGTGATGTCATGTCTGAGGGCACTGTGTGGTGCAAATATAATGCAGAGAATTCATAGTTTGGAAGTTAGGAGGTGCGGGATTGCCAAAACTGTTGTCCAGAGGGCTGAGGAAGGGCTGTTGAGGTGGTTCGGACATGCAGAGAGAATGGAACAAAACAGAATGACTTCAAGAGTGTATAAATCTGTAGTGGAGGGAAGGCGGGGTAGGCATCGCCCTAGGAAAGGTTGGAGGGAGGGGGTAAAGGAGGTTTTGTGTGTGAGAGACCTGGACTTCCAGCAAGCATGAACGGAGACAAATGGTTTTTAGTACTTGACGTGCTGTTAGAGTGTGAGCAAAGTAACATTTGTGAAGGGATTCAGGGAAACCAGCAGACCAGACTTGAGTCCTGGAGATGGGAAGTACAGTGTCTGCACTCTGAAGGAGGGGTGTTAATGTTGGTTTTATAAACTGTAGTGTAAAGCACCTCTCTGGCAAGACAGTGATGGAGTGAATGATGATGAAAGTTTTTCTTTTTCGGGCCACCCTGCCTTGGTGGGAATCTGATGTGTTAATAATAAAAAAAAAAGAATAGCTTCATCATTTCTGAAGTCTTAGCGAGAATCCTCCTGAAAACAGTAAACCCTGCCATCACATAACTGCTACTACATAAAGGACATGCTCAGTTTGAGCCAACAGGCCTGCTGCAGTGTTACTCCTTTCTCATGTTCTTATGTAATAGGGAAGGGACACTGAAACATTCCTTTTCAAATCCATCCATCCTCATACATACACTTGCCCAACCTATTTTTTGTGCTACCCAAACCATAGCTTTTGTAACCTTCTTTCTCATGTACCAACTGACTTTTCCACCACATGTATAACTACTACTACTACCTCTACTTGTGTGGGCGAAACGTTGTCAATAAAGGATCACATTATACTGCTGCATCAAACTGTGTGTCTGGCAGCCCTGCTGCCAGACGCACAGTCGTAAGTCGAGTGGTTGTATGACATGCAGATCATAAGTCGGATGGTGAGTAGTGGTACCAGCACTTTTATGAGTGTGAGGCATGTTTATAGTCCATTAGTGCTTATCTCATACACCTATCAAAATTTGTCTTTAAGTCTTAATCACTTCATCAGTATCTACAACTGTGTGTGAAACTGTTTACTATATAAACAAAACAATCAATTTAATTTTTGCAGGCTAATTTAAACAGACATGACATGATGTAACTAAGGAAAAATATTTCAGGTTTTGCACACCAAACTGATATCAAATGAAAAAGTTTTTGTGTTCAACAAGGAAGGTTGTTTAATAATGAAGTAGTCATCATGAAGACATTCTGCCTTACTGGAAAAAATATACTGGTGTTACTATATATTATTGCAGGCAGCCATGAGTGATACTGGTGGAGATATTTATGGCATTCTTTAAAGTTCTGAAGATAGTAAGACCAAATAAAACATGTAAAGTCAAGAAGCAGCAAGACTGAACTCATCTGCCATGGTAAAATGATACTTTATGGATGGTAAACACTAATTTTACTGTTTATTACAGTATTATTCAAAACACAGTGAATATGATACCAGAAACAATAAATGCAACAAAAATGACTGGCAAAATCATAGTGATACGATTGTAAACAACTAATGAACTGATCAGATATGTTATGAAGTGGCAAAGATAAAAATGTTCGTAGCAAAAAACAAACATGCTGGGTCCATCCCAGTATCATATATAAGCACAAAACCCTCTAGCATGAAACAATGCCTGTTGCATTACAGATAAAAATAAAAATCTTGGTGTTACTGTATAAAATTACATTAAATAGCAGTGAAAGCAATATCACCACTGATGGTATGTACTACATACGGAATAATCTACGATGGTAAATAAAACTTGAACCATACAAGTGGGTACAAAGTCTCTGCATGAACAGCAACATTCACTAATGATATAAGAAATCTAATCACTCGGTTGGACTTGAGTCCTGGAGGTGGGAAAGGCAGTGCCAGCACTCTGAAGAAGAGGTAGGAATGGTTCAGTCAAAGGGGTAAGTTCCACTACTTGGACCTGTTGTAACAAGACTTTGTTGCCAATACAAAGAACGACTAAGAGCACTTAGAGTTGTGGCAGGGCTTCACCCCAGGTATGGTGCTAATGTTAAAATTGTGAAAATGATGTATCTTGCTTATATTAGATCATTGGTTGATTATGCTGCGCCACTACTTGCTCTTGTGTCTGACTGGAAGCTTGGAGGGCTGGAAAAACTGCAGAACGAAGCAATGAGGATCATCCTAGGATGCCCTCGTACTGCCAAAATTTTAAATATGCAAAAAGAACTTGATATTCCAAGCATCAGAGATCGTGTTACTGAAAGAAATATCCTAATTGGGGTTAATATGCTCAGGCAAGCTCATTCAAACCCCTGCACAGAAGCCCTCCAAACTTTCCTCAGCACTGGTGAACACTCCTCCAGATGGATCGAAAAGACTGGAACCGACCTCCGCATGAATCAGATACATGATCTATGTCAAGTAAGGCAACAGCGGCACTTCTCCGCTCCATGGAATATTACCCCATTCCAAACTACCATTCCTCCATTTCCCCCCAAACTACTTCTTAAATCACAACCAAAACTTCGCCTTGAAGCCAAACATGAGGCCTTAAGCTGTATTGATAACTTAGTCACACAGCACACACTCTCGCAAATTATTTACGTTGATGGTTCTGTTCACCAATCCACTGGTGCAGCTGGTAGTGCTGCTGTTGTCGTACAGAGTGATGGCTCTCTTAAAGAAATTGGAGCACGCATCAATAATTGGGCCTCTACCCTTCAGACAGAACTGTTTGCCATACTCCTTGCACTGAAATGCATCTATGTATCAAAGATTGACAGTTTAATTGTAACTGATTCTCTGTCATCCATAAATGCTCTCAACTCATTAAGCATAAATTGTGGCATGCTTGTGTCAGAAGCCAGACACAGGTATGGTAGGATTGTGGACAGTGGAGTCAGAGTGCACATGCTGTGGATTCCATCTCACATTGGTCTTCAGATGCATGATAGAACTGATAAATTGGCTAAGCTGTATGCTTTCAAAGAGGGAGTAGATTACAATCTTGGCTTGTCAGGTAGTAGTTTGAGAACAATAATACGAAAAGAACTTCAGCTGAATTTTATGGACTTAAGGCTCAGGGAGATTGACACCAGTGAGTCCATCTATCATCATTCTATCATGCAGGAGGAGCCACATGTCTATGGTGCATCCAACAAAATAAGCAGACTCTTGGATGTCACTACCGCCCGGCTCCGGCTGGGTTACAAGTATCTTTGGCAGGTTAAATCACCACCACCAGATGTAGACCAAACGAAATGTAAACTTTGCCAGATGGATTATTGTCACACCCTGCGTCATTATGTACTGGAGTGCGATAAAATTAATGAATTTAGAAACAACTCACTCAGAAGTGTTCAAGAAATGGCTAAGTATTTTATCCACAGTGGTATATTACAGACCATTCTGGAGAAATACCCTGACTTTGCTAGCTGTAAATAAAGCATTACCACATGTGTGCATGTGTGTGTGTGTGTGTGTGTGTGTGTGTGTGTGTGTGTGTGTGTGTGTGTGTGTGTGTGTGTGTGAGTATGAGTGTGTGTGTGTATGAGTGTGAGTGTGTGTATGAGTGTGTGTGAGTATGAGTGTGTGTGCGTGTGTGTATGAGTTTGTGTGTGTGTGTGTGTGTGTGTGTTTATGTGTGTGTGTGTATGAATTTGTATGTGTGTGTGTGTGTGTGTGTGTGTGTGTGTGAGAGAGAGAGAGAGACTCAGCAATCAACATTTGCACCAATAACTCACTACAGTTGTGACCGGGTGTGGAAGTGTGAATTGCTCATTACTCTAAAATTTGTTCATGATTGCAGCCATGTATAAACATAAGTAACCATTCTTACAGTATTCATTACCTTTGTAACTTGTGAGTTCATTACCTTTGTAACTTGTGAGTTCATTACCTTGTACCTAGTTCAGCCATCAAAACTTTGGAGCCCGGTCCCTGGACCCATTGTGTACCTCTGTAATCTGTAAATACCTTTGTAACTTGTAATGATTGTGACTAGACCTACCTGGAGTTCATTACCTTTGTAAATTGTGAGTTCATTACCTTTGTAAATTGTGAGTTCATTGCCTCTGTGGCTTGCTCAGCTATCAAAACTTTGAGGCCCAGTCCCTGGACCCATTATGTACCTCTGTAATCTTTTGACTACCGCCCACAGGATGGGTATGGGGTGCATAATAAACATATTAAACTAACTAACTAAAGGGTAATCCTAACTGTGCTGTCAGCACACTTCTGGAAAGGCAGCAATTGAATCAATGACAGTGAATGAGTTTCTTTCTATAATTTACCCTGCCTCAGCAGGAGACTGCTGCCGAGGTAAAAAAATTTATATATACTTAGAATATACTAGAATTAAAAAATTAAAAAAGAAATAGCTCGATAAACCAGTTGCTTACCCTCTGAAGTGTGTTGCAATCCTTATCCTTATTATGCAGATAATGTGTCTGCCAGAAGCGGAGAAGAGAACGGAGATTTGTCAGAAGATGTGGTTCAACATGACTTCTGAGGCCCTCTAGGTATAGTGGCAGCTCAGCATGCCGGTGTGCCAACATCAGAATTACTAATGAAGTGTTAAGACAGCTTACATTTTCCTTAAAAAAATAAAAAATACAAATTTTTAGCAGCTATTGGTAAGTTTACAACTAAATGTTTATTTATGCTTTACTAGAAAACTTTAAATGTATACTGCCTGAGTGGTGCACCAATGAAGTTCTATTATTAGAGTTTAACGGTGGCATACCTAGAAATAATACTTCCTGTATGTGTGTCGCAAATATATTGAAAAATAAAAGCTGAAATTATTTTTAAAAAACCAGGGGCAGGGCAGGGCAAGACACACATGCAACAGTTGAGTATCTTTATCATTGAAGCATATTGCCTATGCAGTAGGATTCTTCAGCCAAATACAGCCTCTTCTTATTCAACGACAGGGTTCCGCTCTTATGAGTAGGTTGGTAAATGAACGGGTCGCTAACCTTTTGAGGGTCCAGAGGCCCTCTCCCACTTGTTCTCAGGGTCAATTTTTTTTTTTTTTTTTTTGGAGGGGGGGGGCCTTACAAAATGATAGAGAATCTTTTTCCGATCATAATGACACCAAAAGTAAGAAATTTGACGGAACCTACAGATTTATGGTCTCATGAAGTTGGTAGTCTTGAAAATATTTACGCATCGGCGATTTTGCCCATTTTGAGCCCTATTTTCGGCCAATTCCAATGTTCCATTCAACTAAAATCATAGCTATTTTGCTAAAACTATTTGTTCTATTGACTGAGTACCAGAAACTGCCCATTTACTGATTTCAACTACCCAATAAAGTGGTCACAAATTGGCAATTTGGCCAATTTCACACAAATTTCAAAAGACACCAATTTCAAAATAGGGTCCAGAATAAACAAGACAGACATTCCTGGCACTAAAATAAATTATTATCTGTTCATAAGTCATGTCTCCAGGCCCCTCTTATATTACTTTTGCTTTCCATTTTAAATTTTTATTCTCACAAAAAATAGATTTACTTTTATGTATACTACTGCATCATTGCAAAAACGGTATAAATAATAACAACACACTTGTGAAAGAATATCAGACTCACCAGTTGATGTGTATTTGACTTGTGGCATGATTTGTTTACTCTTGAACATCGGTAAAAATCGAACATTTTCACTACTTTGAGCTCAATTTCATGATACTTGTCTTCATGAAACCCATCAAAATCATCTCTATTTCTGTAATATATCTTCCATTCTATCAAATGAGGCCAAGAAAATGCGAATACAGCCATAAATACTGTATGAAAATACACTTGAAAGTCGCTGTTTTAAGCCAAAAACATGGTCAGAGTTTTTTCTTCTCATTATGCACTGTGTACTTCAGGATTTTTTTTATACTGTGCACACTGACCACTCAGACACATTCTTTCGTATGTAGGCCTGCCAGCTTTCTTCGACCAGATTTGAATGCGCTAGAATTTACACGTACAAGTACGTGACCGACCCTAGATGCAATGACGTACAAGTACGTGACAAACCCTCAAAGGGTTAAGCAAGGAGCATACTATACTGGTAGTGGGTTTGTGTCAACCATCTTTAATTGTTTTTTTGATGTCACCTTTGCACCATTTAAACCATTTTTAGTACATTTTTAAATGTTTATACAGTAGCATACTGTATACTGTAATATACAGAATAGAGGAAATCAGATCTAATATACATTACTTAGGTATGTATACTGCTTGGAGAGCTGGTCCTAAGTCCGAGTGGTCGGTAGATGAGTACGTTGCTAAGCAAGGAGAGGCTGTACAGAGGAAAATGGATTGTAGACAGCAGTAATGGTAGAGAGGTTCATCAACCTTGGAGAAACAGTTTGAGATGGCTTAGCCCCTCAGCCTGGAGAAGAGTTCAGTTCTATGGTCTGCACAAGTCTGCAACAAGACTAGTTCCAGAGATAAGGGGTATGTCCTATGAAGAGTGGTTAAGGGACTCAGCCTGATGGGACTGGAGGACAGAAATTCCACAGACTGCAACAGTTCTAGGAACACAATCAGTGCCTGTATACAGTAGGGCCCCACTTATACAGAAGGTTAGGTTGCAGGCTGCCGCCGGAAAGCGGACATCGCCAGAAAGCAGAACGCCATTTTTTCTACTTATAAATATATATAAATGCCAGATAGCAGGTGTACACTAACATATATTTAGTTAGCAATAGAACTAGGCATTAAAAACAATAAAAAGTAAAATACACAAACAGTACACTCATTATTTACCTAAAGATATTTGTAGTCTTATTGTAGGGCAAAAGGCTAGCAGTATTTATTTTAAGACAGGTGTGGTAGGTATGGTAGCTCTCCTGGCCACCCCACCCACAAATATACTACAATGTTTACAGTGCCCTAGAGTGATAAAATGCACATACAGTACACTCATTACTTACCTTAAAATATTTGTAGTTGTAATGGTCTTAATGCAGGGTGAGAGGTGAAAAGCATTTGTTTGTAGAAAGTCAGGTGAAGGAGGTATGGTAGCCCACCAGGCCACCCCACCCACACATAATACACTACATTTAAAGCACCGAAGAGCGATAAAATGCACATACAGTACACCCATTACTTAAAATATTTGTAGTCTTAATGTAGAGTGAGAGGCGAGTAAGCGAGATAAAAATGAATAAACGAGAGAGAGAGAGAGAGAGAGAGAGAGAATGAGTAAGAGGACAGAGCTGCAGAGTACAGTGGTCCCTCGCTTTTCGCAGTTCCCGGCAATCGTAAATTTCGCCAATCATAGGGTCATTTTCGTATAAACATGGACTCGCTTTTCATAAGTTGACTCGCGAGTCGCAATTTGTCCCGGACGCGTACCCACGGCGTGAGCCGTGGCGGCAGCCAGTCTGGCATTGTTTACCAGTGAGCGAAGGTCCCCTCATGTGCTCCAGCGAAGTATTTCATAATATTCCATTTATTTTAGTGCTTGCAAGTACTAAATAAGCTACCATGGCTCCAAAGAAAGCTCCTAGTGCCAAGCCTGTGGTAAAGGTGAGAAATACGATTGAATTTAAGAAAACCATCATTGAACAATATGAAAGTGGTACAAGTGTGGCCGAACTGGCCAGGATGTATAAGAAACCCTACACAACTTTATGTTCCATAATGGCCAAGAAAAAGGAAATCAAGGATGCTGTTGTTGCAAAGGGGGTAACTATGCTGACAAAAATGAGATCACCAGTACTTGAAGAGGTTGAGAAGTTATTATTGGTGTGGATAAATGAGAAACAATTAGCAGGAGATACTCTTATGACTTCAATTATTTGTGAAAAGGCTAGGCAGTTGCATGAAGATTTGGTAAAGAAATTGCCTGCAAATCGTGGTGATGTGAGTGAATTTAAGGCCAGCAAAGGCTGGTTTGAGAGATTTAAGAACCGTACTGGCATACACAGTGTGGTAAGGCATGGTGAGGCTGCCAGTTCGGACCACAAGGCGGCTGAAAAATATGTGCATGAATTCCAGGAGTACATAGAGGCTGAAGGACTGAAACCTGAACAAGTGTTCAATTGTGACGAAACAGGCCTCTTTTGGAAGAAAATGCCAAAGAGGACCTTCATTACACAAGAGGAAAAGGCAATGCCAGGACACAAGCCTATAAAAGACAGGCTGACGCTAATGTTCCGTGCTAATGCTAGTGGGGATTTCAAAGTGAAGCCATTATTAGTGTACCATTCTGAAAATCCCAGAGTGTTCAGGAAAAACAATGTTGTGAAGAGTAAATTGTGTGTGTTTTGGAAATCTAATAGTAAGGCATGGGTCACGGGAGAGGGACATTTTCGTCGAGTGGTTCAATGAAGTGTTTGGCCCTAGTGTGAAGGAGTATCTCCTGGAAAAGAAATTGGATCTCAAGTGCCTGCTAGTAATGGACAATGCACCTGCTCATCCTCCAAACTTGGATGACCTAATTTTCGAGGAGTTTGGGTTCATCACAGTAAAGTTTTTGCCCCCGAATACCACTCCTCTCCTCCAGCCCATGGACCAGCAGGTCATTGCAAACTTTAAAAAACTCTACACAAAAGCAATGTTTCACAGGTGCTTGACTGTGACCACAGACACTCACTTGACCCTAAGGGAATTTTGGAGAGAACACTTCAGCATCCTCCATTGCATAACCCTTATAGGTATGGCTTGGGAGGGAGTGACTACCAGGACTTTGAACTCTGCCTGGAGAAAATTGTGGCCAGACTGTGTCGACAAGAGGGATTTTGAAGGGTTTGGGACTGACCCTGATGAGCCTATGTCTGTTGCAAAATCAATTGTGGCACTGGAGATTTCCATGGGGTTGGATGAGAGTTTGGAGGATGTGGAAGAATTCGTGGAAGACCACAACAAAGAGCTCACCACTGAGGAACTGCAAGAGCTTCAGCAGGAAGAGCAACACATCGCAGCTCAGAATCTTGCTGCAGAGGAGGAGGAAGAGAGATGGAAGAAGGTGCCTTCTTCAGAAATTAAAGAGATTTTTACTATGTGGGGTAAGATGGAAAGCTTTATGGAGAAACATCACCCTAACAAGGTTGTTGCAAGCCATATTGGCAACATGTACAGTGACAAAGTTTGGGCCATTTTAGGGAAGTGTTAAAGAGACGCCAGAAACAGAGCTCTCTCCACAGTTATTTTGCGAGACAGGACTCCAGTGACTCTCAAGGTGGTCCTAGTGGCATTAAGAAACAGAGAAGAGAAGCAACCCCAGAAAAGCAATTGGTACCTGAGGTGTTGCTGGAAGGGGATTCCCCTTCCAAACTATAAACAATCCACTCTCTCTCCTCCTCCAGTCTCCCATACACTAAGAAGAATCTCCAATAAAGGTAAGTGTTATGCTGTTAATGTTTCATTCATCATTTCCCATTGTATTGTTTATGTACTACATGTATATTTCATGTAAAAAAATTTTTTGTTTTAATACTTCTGGGTGTCAGGAACGGATTAATTGTATTTACATTATTTCTTATGGGGAAAATTGATTCGCAAATCATAAATTTCGTTTATAGTAACGGTTCCAGGAACAGATTAGTTACGAAAAACGAGGGACCACTGTACTTATGTAAACAAACGAAC